AATCGAGAGATTTCCTTAAGTTAGAAAACCCCTCATAGTCTAATGTCTTGGTGAATATATCAGCTAAATGATTCTTGGTCCCTATGTACTCAATGCAAAATATGTATTTCTCAACTAAATCTCGAATAAAGTTATGTCATATATCTATGTGTTTTGTGCAAGAATGTTGAACCGGATTTTTTGAAATATCAATTGCACTCTTGCTATCACAATATACGGTTAAGAAATTACTATGTCGACAATAACTCTCAATCATTTGATTTATCCGTAAAAGTCGACAACTAGAAAAATTTGATCTCATATCATGCAAAGACACCATATTATTAACAAGAATTCTCTCGAAAAGATTATCATTAACATTACTGAAAACACCACATAGCTTTCTTACCATTAAATGAAACAATCTACCATTTGTTACCTCACCAAAAGATCGCGACAATGGAAGAGATCTACGAACTACTCTTCTCCAATCAGTAACACTCACATCAGATCGTGTCTCAGCCTCAAAAATGGTATTTTGCTCGTCGGAGATACGTGTCGCTTCAGATGTTGTGTCTGGTGCTGTGTCAGGTGTCATGACATCTGGGGCGACATCAGGGACGACATCTGGAGCAGCACTACATAGCAGAAGGTCCGTCAAGTCCCGAACGTCATCCTCAGCAGTTTTTACTCGATAACAATTTTGGGTAGTTCGTACACCTGCCAAAATACATGAATTAGACTCATCAAAAACTTCACAAGATTTACTATCAAATTTAACATGGAGATTATCATCACAAAGTTGACTTATGCTAATCAAGTTTGCCTTAAGTCCATCAACCAACAACACATTTTGAAGCTTTGGGAGGCCATCGACATTGAGTGTTCCTCGTCCTATGATCTTTCCATGTTCACCTCCTCCGTATGTAACACGCGCACCTTCACAAGGTTCTACATTGGATAAGAACTCACGAATGCCGGTCATGTGACGCGAACACCCGCTATCAAAGTACCATGAACCTGCAATATTAGACTTCAAAGAGGTACGAATAACATTGCATTTCAACTCAGATTTTGGAACCCAAACAAACTTTGATTTACTCTTAGTTCTAGTTCCGTGATTTATGGGCATATTACGGGACATGGGAGGCACCGCTGGTACAAAAGACCTATCAAATGAATGCAATTTATAACAATAAGGTCTAATGTGCCCAGGTGCATGACAATAATGGCAAACATACCGACGCCTTCGTTGTTTAGTATTCTTAAAAAACTTAGGCGTGGATTTTGAGGACTCACCTGTTTCCTCTGATGAACGGACAAATATAGTAGGCTTAAAACCAAGTCCCGCTTTCTTATGATTATGTTCAAGAGCAGCTAGGACATCTAATTGGCTCTTACCAGTGTTAAGTCGTTGGAAGGTCTGACGGGAGTATTCAAGTTCCTCTCTTACCTTCACCAACTTTTGGTCATGGCCAGAGATGGTCACCTCCAATTGAGTTATAGTAGACTTCAAAGCATCGTTCTCCTCTTCCAACTTTTTAGCCTCTGACTTCATCATCTTATTCTCATCCTTTAACTTATTGTTCTCCTTCTCGAGCCTATCCGATTCCCAGACGGCATCTAAAGCGTTTATGAAGTTCCACGTACACTTCTTCATGATCGTCAAACCTAACAAAT